TCATACCTTAGTCTTTCTTCACTACCATGATTTCCCAGCGATCGCAGTTGAAAATCTTTCGGTCTTGTCTAGAAATCATAATGTAAGATGAGGTGGTGGAGTATATAACTGAACGACTTGTGCAACTATACACTACTTATACTGATGACAGTTAGATTCCCGTAGATAAATGTAAGAAGTTTGTGATGAGTGTAGGGACTCACCGTCACGGATGTTAGCATGTATTCGCAAATAATGGGATTGAATGTATCTATATGAGACATACAATGATCAACTTAAACAGCGGAATATACCCATTTGATCATAGGAAAAGACAAGACATGGTTATAGCGAAGAACTTTTCTTTCCGATCAAGTCTCATTTACTAAGTTGTAGATTCGTAAATATATGTTGCAGTAGACAGAACATCCCAGAATTATTTCCGGTTAGGAATCAAAATATATTGAGTAACGAAACGAAGTTACGTAATACAAATAGGGGTTTAAAGTAGGGAGATAAACATGGAATTATGAAAATAAAAAGTATAATTACGTAGTACAGGTTGAAACTATGACAGTCAAGGCCTTGTTTTGCCTATGTCAAAGACAAGAGTTGAACGTGCTTTTTTAGACACAATGCTTGTTTCAACTTCTGAATGGCTAGTGCTTTAACTTTACCCAAATACCTTGATCTAACTCTCTCCGAGTGGTTTGAACGAACCCTGTAGAGGATTTTGAGTGAGTTCTGCAGAAATCTGCAGATCAACTTGGGTGGTTTCTAACTACTGAACAACTACTCAGCTGTGGAAAATGTCAACGTGTACTATGTAATTTGTAAATAATCTTCAAATTGACCATCTTATTTAGGGTTTACTGATCCATACAAGTCAACTAGTCAGATTCAAGTGATCTAAACAGTTCGTCTCTATGAGCCGAATTCATTTGGTTACACCGCTGATGAGCTTGGCTCCAAATGAAACAGCCTTCTAGTGTTTAGATCACTGTGATTTGGCTGGCTGGGGAAATACTAAAAATCAACCTGAGGGGTTTCTAGCTACTCAAGTTGTTCAATAGTATATTTTGGCAGTCATATCAGGTTTTCAAGGATTATTGTGAAGTCATTTAGTTGTAGTAATGATGACAATTCCTTCATAACTTGAAAATTCATGCAATGAGGCATAAACTATATATATTGTGTGACTGTTGATATTCTTAAGGTCGTTGGACCTGTTTGATCTTTTTTTAAGTTACAACCTGCACTTGAACACTTCGATAACATAGTCAGATTGTTCAGTTCACCTGGATCCGACTAATAATACATTTGATTGGTTGATTTACACTATAATAACTCTGTCACCATGGCAAAGGGGTAGTGAAAAATCACTTTATTGTGAGAGAAAGCTTAATATGAGGTATATATTGTTTACAAACGGCTTTCATTTACTCTAATCAGTTTGCAGTAGTTTTAGTCTATTCAATTCATTTCATCAGATACAGATGCTTATAAAAATTCTACGTTTTGCGGTGAAATGTTTCAGAAACTCTGCTGAAGGAATGCAGGTCGATATGAGTGTCAATGAGCTTCTAATATTTAGATTATTCTTATCTAGGTGCTAAAATTTACTACTATTCAGTCAATCATCTTGTGCAGTAATGAACTCTTGGAAATTTTATCATATATACTTTGACTATATCTGACTGTGAAGGGAGTACCGAGCAAGCATAAAATGCCTATCAAAGCTCGGTACTCGGACTCACGCAGGTATGCGTATTGGCTTATGGAGAGTTGTCATCTGAATTGGAGACAACTAGTGGTATCCGCCAGGGATACTAACTGTCACTGTTCTAGTTTAACTTCCTTGTAGACTGACTGATGGACATAACCTGATGTACGTCTGACTTCTCGGGGATCGACTAACTCCCTGCAGGTTATCTGGTTAACTTGGAGTATGCAGACGATATTGCTCGCGTTTGATGAAATCATGTGAATAATGTTGAGATCAAAAGTAGGGTACTAGAGAAAAAAAGAGCAAAACAATTGATGGGGGTTGTTAGTCTTCATCGGCTGGGCTGACGTAGATGTGTTCTATCCATTCCGAGCTATCGGCAACCTTAATGTGCCATGTTATTTGAAGCTGGACTAGGTTGGAAGAGGATTCAGGGTGACGAGACAAGATATGGTACCACTCTATAAAGTCTTTGACTGTTGGTCTGAGGCGTATGAAGAGGATATAGATTGCCAGTTTGGGTTCTTCAAGACGATAGGAATGAGTAGTTGGGGATTCTTAGTGACAAGGCTAAAACTCGGTCACAATGGCGCAGTTGTATCCACTTGAATATTCGTACCAATCTTTATCTTCAAATTATTTATTCTGTCGCACAACTTTGTCTACTTTGATATCACTCCTTTTTCTATCCACTTGGTTTTTGTATACTACTGTGAAGTATGATAACCTGAACTGATGAACTTGTGTGTGAGGTTGAAGTTTGTTTTTGTTTATGTCTGTCTGTCTGTAATACATTTTGAGGTTAATGAAGATTTTAGTTTTTGAGGTAACAATCATTATGGACGATCTTAGAAGTGTATAAAATCGTGTAAAACATATATACATCCATACACATAAATCTACCCTTTGCATGATATCATTATATTGTTATATTGTACCAACAATTTATCGGTTTCTATGTCTTCTGGGTAGGTACTCTCAGTCATTAATAGTGATTGAATACGTTAGTAGGTTAGAGAAATCAATTTCATTTCTATGGGTTAGACATTCCTAATATACAAACATCTATATACGTATATATTAATGCTTATTTTGACACTAGAAAATTATCTAACAGTTGATATGCATACATACTGAAGTATCCAGAAATATAAAAAAATATATAGATTCTTCAATGTTACATCTAAATGTGTAATTGAAAGACACAACATGCTGTTTTTAATTCACAGTTAAGGTTAAAGTAAAACTTAATGATCTCATACAAATAATATACATATTTCTTGTGCTTCAAAATTGATATTTTCTGGCTAAGTAAATTCTTTGAATTTGATCAATGAAAATATTGTGAATGCTACATTCCATCTCTTTCTCTGTCTTAAGATCACCTATACTTTTCAAAGCTTGAATAAAAACGTAGTATTATTGACTGTTGCATAATATTGAATTCAGAGGTTTTTGGGTTATTGATCGGTCTCAAGGTAATATGCACACCGCAAGACCTAGTAATTTTGGATTCGACCCCTGGCAAGAATCATGAGGCTGTGGTTCATTGGCTTACCTAGTTGACTTTCAACCACTGAGTCATGGTTCAAACTCTAGCTTATCACACACTAGGCACGGCTCATCGCCTACTGCGCGAATGTTCATAAGGATGTTGAATACATTTAGTTTCTTTTTTTTCGGGGTCATGTGAATGTAATATCAAACAGTTGCATACTAGGATAAAATAGATGCCCAGTGCTCCAGGTTTCCAGTTTTCCTTCAACTGATCCCAGTACATAATGAACACCACAATATAATGTTACAGAACATTTAACGCTCATAGCCTAGTTCATACGTCTGTACTTTAAGAAGTATCACTAAATGACCCAGTACTAAACATCATTATTCAGTGTTGTATTCGCTATTGTAGTCCTAATAATCAACATAATTTCTCTGAATGATTGCCTTATAGTTCTGTTATAAGTGGATAGGATCGAGCACAGTTTTCAGCAGGAATATCCTTTTACTGTTTAGATTGAAGATATCTTATGTGAAGTCTACTAATTACTGAGTTCTTTCCATCGCTCAAAACACAAGGGTGGCCACAAAATGTGGTCGACATAAGTCACTCAGAATACTTGTTGACTAATCTGGGACAAAATTTATTGCAGCCAGAGGTAACCACTCACAAAAACCAATCATACGCGACTACTCTTCCTAATGCGCAAGTTACAGCCATCTCTAACACTCCACATACATCGAAATATTCGCTGAAGAAAGAATGTGAACAGTATACCAATCGATCGCTACAAAGGAACAAATAAAATACAAAATGTAGTCAGACTTGAGGACAAATACTATAGTATTAACTATTGGTCCATCGACTTTATCAGTGCGTCGAATATGAATGCCAACAATGGGTGATTCAGATCGATTTTTTACTGAACATTTTCATCTCTTCATTCAAATCAAACTTTGGACGCATTAAATATGCCGCCAGTTGACCAGTAAACCATATGAATGGTGTACCGTGTAAAAGTGGTAAAGTTTCGCTCATGTGCCTGTGTTCCAACTACTAGCTGCTACCTTGATGATGTAGTTGCGCTTGGTTATTACAATGGTTGAGTGGTTTTCCCTTTTAGGTCCTCGAAAAATTGAAATACTCCCGGCAATCGTGTGCGTATTCGTGTAACAGGCAATAAACCATGCCTATAATGTGAGGGTTACCCAAATATCATTAGGTGAGACGCTGTTCGAACTCCTGCGTGCGTGAATTGCCTAAACTGATGCACTACAGCTTCACTCTTGAGTTTCTATTGTACCATATAGGTCACTTGGATAATGGTAAAAGTAATAGTAGGAGTTACAGATATAATGAAAAATCACTACACTTTGATAGAGTTCAAAGGGGAGAAGTTAGTTATGTTGCTGGCTGGATGGGGGTGTGATAGCACCATTGAATTTATTGGCTTCAAAAATCACAACTCTATTATCTTATTGCCTTCCAGTGCCGAAGTCGTTCGTTTACATATGGATTAAATACACTTCCAAAGTGGTAATGTGTTACTGACCTCAAGGAAATGACCAACTGTAGAAGTTACCTATTTTCCTAATTTAATGACTTAAAATAGTTTTACTGATCCATTGCATATTATTTATACTACTCAATTAACTGTCATTTCAGCATAATAATAATAATAATAATAATTTATTGCTGAATTTACAGGTGCATATCATTTTTACAGATACAGTTATAACAATTAGTGGTGGAAAATAGTAAAGTTGAACTTTTGAATTCATTTTATCCTTATAGAATCCTATAGACTGTAAAACTGCTAAATATGTGGTTGCATCATTGAATCGACCTTGTGCTTTCGGTTGTAATGCACATCATCTAATGCATTGTTTTCAAATGGCTTATGCAACTGGACGTACACTTGTTCTGTCTACATCAAGTGGTGATTCATATACAAACTGGTGGATAGATAATTTTCTACCATTATCGAATAAATGCTCTGTAAATGATATTTCATCGACAATTCATAACTCTTGTAAGTATTATCTTGTCTATACGCATATCTTTGCAATGTATATATATGTATGTACAGTTGTAAATTGTTAAATTCTTTTGCTTTTTCTTGAAGCTTTTGCTCCAAACTGGTTGTGATTCAGCTTTAAACTTTAAATGATGAAGGCTTATACCTTCATCGACTGATATTGGTTAGAATATGCGTCGTGAAAAGTCAATTGACTGAGATAGATTTGGGTTGAAAGAAGACTGAAGGTTGCTAGATGAAGATGCTGTATCTATCCATCAAGTCTACAACTGTTGTTTTGAGCCTTGTAGAAAGAAGTAGGCTGTCTAGATGGGATCTTGAGACGTTAAGAATCAGTGCTTGAGGACTGTTTGCGATATTATGGCTCAGAGACAATAATAATGGTGCATATGCATACACTACTTGTCATCTTGGAAGTGTTGAACATTTCTTTCAACCTTCATCTATTCATTCTCACGCACCCTTGTTGACTTTAACATCATTCTTTTTCCTTCTTTTTGCATGCTACTGTAAGGTGTGGTGAAATGAAGTGGTGCATTTGTATTCCAGGTTCTACGTTTATATGTTTCTCTCTTTCTCTTTCTTGTTAGTCTCGGCCTTCTGTGTTTATGTGAGGCATAGTTGTCGATTCCTTTTGTGTATAATTGTGCCGACAACTAATTTCATAAATGGGAACCATCGTACACTTTCTCACTATTTAAAGAAATGATACAATTATTATCCATTTTAAGAATGGTATTCTTTCTGATATCAGTTACACTATTAATTTGAAAACCTGTCCTCCTCATTCAGACAGGAGACACAATTCGTGTGTGATCCGTTATTTAGTGGATATAAATGTGTACTAAGCTGATAATTTCTACCACCATCATTACTCCTATCGTCACACTTATAAATTTCAAACGATAACCGGTTAGTGAAATAATGGTCCTCTGGTGAATATACCATACTGTGTGCCGTCTCACGTTTTTCGCTCTCTTTTTCTCTCTCTTTCACTTTGTCATCTCAAGAATTTCACCTTGCTATGAATTCACTGAGTAGTTTTCGATAAAACTGACTAACTTGTATTGTTGTTTGTATTATGCTGTTGTTGATTTGACCCAATTGATCGACCTCTATTGGCATACGGGCTCCTGCGCGGATGCCTCGATATTACCTGTGTTTTTAGTTATGTAGTAATAATGGATAATGGCTAACAGTGGAATCCAGGATGCGCATTTCGTCCTATTTGGGAGTCGTCAGCCGGTCCAATCAACGACGGTATAATACGAGTGATAATACTTAAACTATGCCCGACGCACAAGAAGTGACTATCGTGGCTCGATGGTCTAGTGGACAACGCTCTGGCTTTTGAAGCGATCGCTCCCGAGTCCGAATGCCGTGGGAACAACATCACTCACCGGGAAGCAGGTACATCCAGCTGGCGAGTCCCAAATAGGACGAAATGTGCATCCTGGCTTCCATTGCTAGCCATTATCCATCTTCACTATAACTAAAACTACACAGGTATATTGGGGCATCCGCACATGAGCCCATATGCCAATAGAGACCGATCAATTCGGTCCAGTCAACGACGGTATGATGTAGAAACAATTAAACTAAAAACTATACCTGTCACACAAGAAGTGGCTATCTCTGCTCGGTGGTGTAGTGGAGAACGCTCTGGCGTTTTAAGCGATCGCTCCTGAGTCCCGATGAGAACGATATCACTCACTGGGAGGCAGGAACATCCAGCTAACGAGTCACAAATAGGATGAAACGTGCGTTTTGGATTCAAGTGCTAGCCACTATCCTTCTTCACAATATGTAAACTCTGTTTCGAAGTTGTGGAGTTACTTGCTGATATGAATATGGACAATAAGTAAGTTATGTCCAAAACGTTGCTATGCAGTAATTGATACTGTCCCTTCAGTGTGTGACATTTCTAATGAACAGATTAAAATTGAATATCTTAAGCCTCTTTCTCATGAATGATTGAGTATATTTCATCGGATTTCAGTTTTATCAGTTTACATGCACTACTCATCATCCATATTCGACGTGATCAATGATCCAACCGATTTACGTTTTTCACATTTACGATAGGGTCATTAGTGATATTCCAGCTTCCGTAACTGCTCTTGTTATCATTTCGAATACTTTAAGTCAATTCATATTTGATGTAAACAATAAGAAGACGTGGTTTATCTGAAACATATGATGATGACTATGAATATAGCTTTAGAATACTCTTATGATTACACTGGCACAGAGGTGCATTGGCTCAAGTTGCCACACTTCACAGTAGTATACAAAGAATAGATGGATAGAAAAACAGTGATATCAAAGATGATGAAGTAGTGTGAGAGAATAAACAATCTTAATATATCACTAAGGGTCCTCAATCACTGATCCCTTTCGTCTCAGGCGGTCTTCATCTCCCCACACAGTAAAAGACTTCATGGACTGGTGCCACGTCTTGGTATGACTACCGTAAACCCTCCTCCAACCTAATCCACCTCCTCGTAACATGGTACGTCGAAGAAAATAGTGGATATGTTATAAGCACCTAGTTTTGCACAAAATATTGTTATTGATCTGGACATTTTTAACTTTGCATTCTCACACCATTTTTTACGGTATGACTAGTAGCTTTTTTTCTGCCTCCATTGTAATGTAATTCACTGATTGGTTAATCTTACTCTTACTATGCCTATGTCTCAAACTGAGGACAAGATCATTTTTCATGTGTGTACTTATTCACGTGTTTTGGGATTTAATGATTATTATATTCTCGGAGGAATAAACTCTCCCATCATCTAGCTCCAGTCTTCTCTGTATTCGTCGCGGGGTTGCAGTCAGTGGCTCTTGAGTACTAGTTAGCGGTCACTTAAGCATACGTATTATATTCTTTCGGAATATATGATCGTTTGCGACGAAGATATATAACAGGATGGTCGTACATAGTACATGTCGAAAATATCTTTGTCGACTAAAGCTGAGAACCTTATCAGTCGACTTGCCTAATTCGCCTAGTATCCCTCTCCTAACCTCAACATTGCTCACATGGTGAGTCAACCATACGGAAGCAGTGGTACGAAGACATGTATTATCAAAACCGTGTAACCGCTTCATGTCTTCTACTTTCAACTCCAATGTCTCATCTGTGTAATAGAACGGACTGGACTGCCTGCACAGTATACTCGTCCTTTGATAAATATTCTGATATCTCACCAGCCGGCGCCATAGATGCTGCAAGTTAGCAAATGCGAAACGAGCCTGAATCCGAGCTGAGATTTTTTCAGCAAGCAGTCGGTTTGGCGAGCTGATACAACTCAAGTAAATGAAGTGGTTGACATGTTCCACAATGGCCATTACCTTACGTTATTTGTGTATGATGGAACCACTGTATGAAAAATGTAGAGATTAGATGTAAGATGTTAGGTGAATAACGTAAGTGATTTGATTACGTTGTAAAGCTCCATCTATTGAGGCATTTCGGACATGCGTTACGTATGCCAAGTCAATACAGGACAACTGAAATCAGTGGCCAGAGACAGTGATACAGTTCATAAGCAATATCAGTTATGCAGATGAATCCTATGTCTTATTTTCGCTGTCACAGCACATTTCGTTATATATATATTTGTCAGTCTGTTCCGTTTCATGTCTTTCTTCCACTATTTGTCTTATTATTTCCTCTTGGGTATGATATCCAGTATTTTGATTTGTTGCCCAGTGATACCATTTCCTATATAGTTAATGCCTATCTATCGTACTGCTGCCATCAACATATCTGTCTGTTGCACTGCTGGATGAATATGAACCTCTCAATAACAATACTTTCGGAATATGTACAAATATTTGTAGCTAAGACCCCGTATGTTCTTCTGAAGTACGTACTAACGTGGATAACAGTAAACTGATAGACACGGTAAGAGCTAAGTTGACTAAATCTTACTCATATTCAGTTTAGACTCTCTCAGCATGTTTTGTGCTCTCTAGTGACCAATTAGTTGCTACCCGAATAGCTGATTGATAACGTCGCTGACTAACTACAACAATGGTGACATAGATTTGAATCTCAGCGTTGACATCAGTTCTGTCAATATGTGCCGATAAGCGGGAAATCTAGGTCCAGGGCTTCCTGTCCAACAAAACTTAAATAACTACCTTTCCTCCTCCAAAGCTAGTTATTGACAGATTCGAGTATGTCTACCAGTGCTATTAGTAGACATTCATTTTGATACGAGTCATGCTGTGGATGTAAACATGATGAAGTATCCAGACTTCTATCTTGTAGATTTTCAAAGAAAAAACTTTGTGTTACATATTCACGTTAAGGTTATCATTGTATGTTTTCTAATTACTTTGTAAGTCGAATGCTTAAAGTAGTATGAATACTTACCATCGGAGGATAAGGACTCTTTAACAACCTCTTTCACTGTATCGTTATTTATGAAATCTAGAGCATTCCTTCTGTTGACTTTTTTCGGTATAGTTATTGATCAGAAAGCGTTGGATACTTATCAAGCAGTCAGTTGTCCGTATATCAATGAAATAAGCTCTTTGTTTACTTGGAGTCCACCAGCAGTACCTTGGCACATAAGTGAAAAGCTATCACTTTTACACGGTACACCATTCATATGGTTTACTGGTCAACTGGCGGCATATTTAATGCGTCCAAAGTTTGATTTGAATGAAGAGATGAAAATGTTCAGTAAAAATCGATCTGAATCACCTATTGTTGGTATTCATATTCGGCGCACTGATAAAGTAAGTCGATAGACGCTTTCTTCTATAGAAGAGCATAGTGGTTGGGTTTTTATCTTTTTATTAAGTTGATTTCCAGAGACTACTTAATTAATCGAGAGTAGCATCATTACTAATAGTTAAACTTCTTTTTTTTTTTTACATACATTCACTTCTAAGTACACTTGCAACGGTTTCAGAAAGGCGATAGGGTAAATAAAATCGATTGGGAAAATTGTTCACAACTCTGTGTTAGCTATTTATATATACTATGATCAAGATTTGATCGTATAGTATTGCAAATATTGGGCCCTTAGTAAGAGGTTGACATTAGTTATAGATTGTATTTGTGTAAGTCACAGCGGGGTTTGAAATCAAATAATTCTGTTTCGCACGGAAGTCTGGCCCGAGCTTTTTCAGGGAAATAATCAAAATTAAGGTATCAAAGAAATATAACGCGATTACGAATTTATTTTCTAGTTTATTAATCTCTGCTGAGGTTTTTGGGATCAGCTTTCAGCAAAGTTTATGTTCCTTGACTCACACATTTACCTGTCTGACAAACTATATATCAAACAAACAAATTTGATGCAGCATTAAATTGACATAATGGAAGCTCTTTGGTTTCAATACACGTAGACAATCATTATCACAAAGTCACCTGAGAGAATGTAGAAATCCTTCAACGATCAGGTTCGAAAGCTGCAAGAGCATCCCTAGAATTTACTTTGGGAATTTACTGGGATTTAGTGATTTTACAAGTTGGTATTCATTATGGAGTGACATCACCTAATTGTTGGTAACGTGCTGGTCACAGAACCTCGGGGTTTTGGGTTTGATCCCTGGTGAGGTTATAGGTGCGCACTCCTGAGGAGTCCCATGCTGGGACGAAACATCTGTCTAATGCTCCTAGGTTACCAATTTTCCTGCGATTGATGTCAGTCCATGATGGATACCAACTTGAAGTATTTTTACAAGCCTGGCATTCCAATGGAAAGTCTATGGAAGCCAATCGTTTATTCTACAGCCTTCCACCAACCAACGGCAAATTGACCAGACAAAACAATAATGAAGCATACAGTGTGACATTAACAAATAGCACAATCCCACTCCAACAAAGATTTTCTACCAACGTAACTGAAGGAAATTTAAGATTGTGTGATGAAAAATCTCTTCCCCAACTTACAATTGGACAACACTTAAAGTCAATAAAACACTATCTTAACATCCATGCAACAGTCGAATATGCTTCATTGCTTTATGAAGTGCATGATAAAGATGTCACTAGACCTGATTCACTACAAAATACCGAATCTCGGAATACACTGAACCACTACCATGGTAGATCTTAGTAATAGAAGAAAATCTGGAAAAAACTTTATTTGTTGCTATCCATACCAACAACAACAACAGTCGTTAAAACTAGAGTAGCCTTGTGGAGGGAGAGATTGATAACAGAGGCTTTATTTATCGAATCAACATAGAAGACATTCAAAACGAATAAATGTGCATCCATTTCATATATTCAGAAATTTTTTACTTCCTATACGATTAATGTAGGTGAGAAATAAGAGTATAAAAAGCGGATGTAAAGTTACATTTGATATGAGCATGAACAGTGAATTCTGTTAGAAGCATCATAGTGTTGTTTCACTGTGTGAAATATCCACAGTGTTTAGCTTCCACTCTTACATTAAAGATGTGGAAGGTTGATAGGGATATGAGGGAACTTGACTGCTGACTGAGTTGTGAACGTCGTTCACATTTCTCGATTCCCCACATAATTTTAAGTTGTATCCTGTTGAGCTAGTTGAGAAGGGAATTACATTAGTAATAATGGTACGTGATCACATAGCCAAAGGGACATTTGATTTAGAACCGGTCATGCACGGGGATTTGTGAGATTTGATATTTAACTGATTTCATCGTATTTACTTAAAGGAGTTATTTCACCTGAACCTATTTACATCAGCTTGCTATTCATTTTGAAAGTAACACTAGCGTTTGACTGCTGGTCATCCATTTGGAAGTTCTGTACTGTTGTTATTATATGCCGAACCAGCAGTACAACTTTCTCCTCTCGCACAGTGTCTTTGTTGTATGGTAGGAAATTATGGAATAAATATTCTCATCAGAATGACCTAACTATTAAACATAGAATGATGTTGATCTCTTTCATCAGATAATGGAATCAATCGTTTCTTGTTTACTTTTCAATCTGTTTAGATAAATACAGAAGCTGCTTTTCACAGTTTAGAAGAATATATGAATGAGGTAGAGCGATATTTCCAATTCATAGACGCAAGACGTCAAATGATGTCGAGAACCGAAGTAAGTGTTAATATTTTACTCAGCCAAAATGTTATTCATTTGTGTAATAGGCATTCTCATGAATTATGTGGCTGGTTTATATATGTCAGAAGTTGAGTGTTTAATCAATACCAGTGGTATAATTTACTCTATAGGTTTTTTCTGTGAAGTATTTGCATTAATGTTGACCATTTGAAGAAGGTCATTCAAGTATCCAACGCTCTATTTCTGTAAACAATTGATTTGCATATTTTTAACATACTGAATTTTCAAGCAATATCGAAGCATCCATACATGAACGCATATGCCAACAGAAATTGATTAATTTTGTCTAGCATAACAACGGAAAGTTGTAAGTAGAGAAAATAGAAAATGATAGTGGTTGCATAGTCACAAGTAATAGATGTTGAGTTTGAGTTCGAAGATGGTGAAGAATACTTGTAGCTCAGGAGGATAATTTTGATAGTGTTATCTTCTCTGAGCTGGATAGTTTTATTGTGAAGCTTTCATTGTTTTTTTCAGGCTAGAATATTATCACTACAAGCTTCAGAAAGAAGTGAGCCATAAAGTTTTTTTCCACAAATTCTTTAGAAGCTTGCCCTGATGGCTTTGTGCGTGTTTCATTGTCTTCATTTTTATTTCGATTGATTGTCCAGATGGCGTGAACTTTGACCTTCATATTGTTTCTGATTGATTCAATGTCAATATGTTTGTTGATTGCTTCTAAAATTTCTGTAGCATTCCTTGTATTTCCTCTGTCCAACCAGGATTTCTACATTTCCTCAGTCAAATTCATGTCCACACTTGTCCGTATCTGTTACTATGAGCCAAGTTATGTCATGATGCTTCACCGCTAGTCGATGTTAATGTAGACGAATACGTAGAGGGCGACTACTCTGTCCAATGTGCTGTTTTTTGCAGTTTATTTTGTAGATAATGTTTGGTTTGTCTTCCTTTACGATTCTATCTTTTTGGCCTATATAACTGAGAGTGAAAAGATTTTGTGGGCTTGTGATATACATCGATTCCAAGACGCTTCAGCAATCTAGTCTTAATCTTGGAAAAGTTATTCGTGTATGGTGGGACAATCAGTTTGTTGGTTTTCGAGTTTCTTTTTTTGGTTGACGACGAAACCATTAGTCACTGGGATTCAGGTAATCTTAGTTGGTGAGTCTCAAATAAGACGAAATGTCGAATGTATAGTATATTTCCATGAAATAAAGGATAGTTGTATTGAATAGTATACGTAAGTGGTTTATTATTTTTTATTAAGTGTCGGAGAGATCATCCACTCAATGGCTTGAAACGACAGGAGACATAGCTCATAACTGAAACTGAGGGCGGTTCTTCAGAACTTTTCTTGGTTCACCTGTTGAATACTTCGTTGTATATATGTTCAAGACAGTTTCTTTAATAATCCACTTATATTTTTCTTGTCCGTGTTCTTTCCCTACCCCACTCCTGCTTTTTCTTTCTGTATAGCGTTGTTTAATTATATTATTTTGCATAGTGCCTCTGACTTGACTAACTTAGTGTTGAAAATCCGGATCTTGTTCTCGCTTTATACTGAGTGCAGTGAAGTAGATCATTACACTGATTTCAGATTAATGCAGGAATGCCTGTCTTTCCGATCCTGGCTGGCTTTGACATCCTCATCTGTGCGTGTGCCTGTCCCGCCGCCGCCTGTAGTTGTAACGATGCTGCCTGCCTAGGTAGGTAAATGAAAGAGACAACTTCCTTTAGATTTCTCCCATTGATATTGATTGGTGCTTGTTGTTGTTCGTTGGTTGGTTGTTTGGTTGGGTATCTTCATCACCTCTATCTTCTCTACGTCCACCTGAAGGAAGTGGCATCTCCACTGCCCTGCCTCTTCTGCCAACTTGTTAGTTTTGGCCTGTAGATCTTCGAGTTTGTGCGACAAGACATTAGACATAAATCATCATCGGTGACGGGATCGAAATCTCCGAAGGTCTTTTCATCTGTTAAACAGCGTATGTCCATCTTTTCGCTCCTCACAGTTTCTGCATGATCCATTCCAGTCGAGTCGATGACAATCGGGAAGATGATCTGTGATAGTCTGCGGCAACCCTGTCTTACTCCTATCTTCACTTCGAAGGCATCACTGAGCTTTCCATTATGAATCACTTGGCATGTAGCGTAGTCATACAACTGTTGAAAGAGGTTGATAAAGATTTGTGGCACTCCGTATTGTTGAAGCAGCTGCCTGCTAAATTACTTTTCGGTCGACGGTATCGAAGGCCTTTTCGAAGTCGATAAAGCTGAGCTAGAGAGTTGACTGCCATTCTATACTCTGTTCTATGATGATGCGTAGTGTAGCGTTGCAATTTGATCCGCACATGATTTGTACTTCCTGAAGCCAGCCAGCCTATTCCGGTGGTAGTTTTCGATCCAGTGCATGCTTTAGTCTCTCCAGGATGATGCGGCCTAATATTTTGCTTGCTTGTGGTAGACAGAAGGATGATTTCTCTCCAGTTCTTGCAAAGGCTTAGGTCTCCCTTCTTTGGGAGTTTGACAAGGTAGCCCTTCTTACAATCATTAGGTAGGTACCTTTCCTTCATTCCAAACCTTCTTCAGTAGTGGTGTGGGCATATCCGCTGTTGTCTCTGCGTCTGTTCTCAGTGCTTCTGGTGGAATTCCATCTGGTCCTTCTACTTTCCCACATTTCAGCAGTTTTATGGCATTCAGGACTCCTGGTTACGGTCCGTCAAGATCCATTCCTTGTCTTGTTTCCTCCTCCTTCCTAGTACGATTATGCAGGTTTCTTTCCACTTCGCTCCACAGAGTTCCAGTGTTCTTCCACACAGGTTTCTTCAGGGATCTTGCCTAATGTCTCCCATTTTTTCCTGATGACTGGCTGATATGAAGATATCCTTTGTAGTTTCGTGCTTCAGTTCCTGTTCTGGGTGTTGTACTTGAACTGTGGTCTATCAACAACTTCCTTGAAAGCTTTCAACTTGATTTCGAAGGTGGGTTCCTTGCACTAGATAGTGAGTGGTTTGAACCTACATCTTCTCCTCTTCTTGACCTTGTGTCAAGTAGGCTGAGTCTCCACTTTCTTCACATTGAGATGAAGTCGATCTGACTTTTAGTGTGTCCTGGTGAAGTCGAATCCATATTGCCTTGTGGATATCCTTGTGCTCAAACACACTACCTCCAATCACCAAGTCAATAAATCCCCAGAAGTCTGCAATCAGTTCTCCATTCTCGTTCATCACCTCACCGAGTGCTTCTCGACCCATGATATATGAGTTCTCTTCCTGTGTTGTTTGCTCCCAGTTTGGCATTCATGTCGCCCATTAGAATTTTGATGTCACTAACTGAGTTGGGGTCTTCTCCAGTACTGATTGCAGTTGTCTGTAGAATTCCTCCTTTTTCTCTTCATCTGCATTATTTGTAATTGCGTAGCGTAGCATTGTGTGATTGTGACTTTTTTTCCTTTTGACTTGAATCTTGCTGTCATGATCCTGATCGTTGAGGAGATTGGTTCCCACTACATGAGAGAGAGCCTTCGATGCTCTTCAAGGGGACATCATGACAGCCACTCGAGAACTCAATGTGCTCGTGGTTGTCGTCTGGGTGACAGTTTCGGAGTAGATTATTGACTCCTCTCCAGTTGACAGTTTGGAGAGTCCACTTCCATTCCATCTGCTTTCACAAATTCCAAACACTTCCATGACATATCTTTCTGTCTCTTTTGCAATCTGGGCTGCCCTGCTAGGTTCAAACATTGTGCAGACAATCCTTGTCCCTATGTTAACTTTCGTTTTCATCGAGAGAAGTGAAGACACATCGACCAATTGGTTTCCTGCAGACTTTCACCAACCGGCGTCATTTGATCTCTTTGATTGTAGCGAGGAATAGGTTTATTTTTATCTTTAATATTTTCTTTGTGTTTTGAAGTTTCTTTAGCGATTGGATTGGTTTTCCGGAGTAGGGTTGCCAGCCCTATACCCAACTTTCCGTGTTTATCCGGTCTTAGTACGCCTAGTAACTAGTGAACTAGTTAACTAAGTGAGGTTATCAGCCAACGTAGGTTGACCATTTCCATCCAGTGTAACATAGGGAGGTTACAAGTATCGGTAAATAACAAGTGACTGTGTATTGAGTTGTAAATAACTAATAAGAGAGATTAAAGTTCTAAATTGTATATTTCTGGAATGTACGTGACGTGTATAGTGAAGTTGTGAACCCAAACGAAGCAAATCATCAATTACACATTGAAATCAGCCTCCGATTATCCTGTTATGAAATACTCTTCAAAATAAAAAGTGGGAAGGGAATGTCACTAATCTATAAAAGTCAGTAGCTATTCTATTGCTTTCAGCTCTGCAGAGGTTCTGATTCACCAACCAAACTATTTAACTGTCGAGTAATCGACCCAGTGTTTAAACGCCACTTCACTTATCTAAACCTACGCAATGAAGAGAATACAACTAGTAGCAAGTACAGTACATCTATACCGGATTGAGGTAGTAGCTGTGTAGAGCTTAAGTTAATTTGATGTAGGGAGGTGATTATCGACCAACGGGTAACGGGTTCGAACCCCGATCCACCTGCCAAGGTTTGAGCAGCCAGGTAGTTGCTAATCTTTATTTCGATTTTTCAAGTTGTTTGGATGAGGAACGCGGAGTTAATGAATGAGAACTAGGAAAAACGAGTCTGTTGGATTCTGAGAAACTTCCAAATCATATAGTATACTTTTTTATGTAGTGTTGTTCAGTTATTATTATTCTTTAAGGTAGCATTCATCAACGACGCACATTGTTTGAGAACCTGTGGAAATTAGTCCACATTAACGTCAAAATACATTACTGTATTGTCCTCATTCGTGATATACTTCCAGATGGATATCTTAAAGTTCTAATAAGAAGCCATGACCAGTGGGGTCAACCAGTCGGAAGGAAGCGGATGCCAACTAAACACTTCGGGTAATAGTCACGTTATATCACGAATTGATAGAAGTAGCAAATTGTGAATCATTGAGTTCAGACCCAGTGGGTAAATACTTAATACGTTCACCGTGAAGACTTGAACGTCCTGAGTTCGACTCTTGTTGGAGTTGTGGATGTGTATTGCTGAGGAATCGCATACTTAAACGAAACAGCTGTTCAGTGTTCCCAAATTTTTAATGTTTCTTCAACTGATATCAGTTCATGATGAATACTAACTTAAAAACAAATGCCCATTAACCTCAAAATACATTGTTATCATTCTGTTTGTTCTCCAATTCACTTTTATGTATGATTCCACGTTGTCATTCTGTGTGTATGTTTGTTGTTACTGTAAGTCGCCAATTTGGTTACAGACTTCGTAGTGAAGGAAGTATGTGGATTAGCTCATTACACTTGCAATGAACTCTTGTTACCTTCGTTTTGTTGAAGATGAATTTTTGTTGTTTATCGTTTTTTGTTTATTTCTCAGTCGAACGTTTTTTATTAACAGTACAAATAACTGATAAGGAAATACATTGTTCTGACTATAGATGCCTATTGAAAAGATTACCGAAGCTTAGTGCTGACACAAACAGACAAAGAGACATAGTCAACGTAGAACCTCGCATATAAATGTATCAGTCCACGTTATCACATTTCACAGTAGCATGCAAGCAACAAATGGATGGAAAATGACTGATAACAAAATGTAGACAAAGATGTATGGGAGGAGAAGGAATTTGAAAATGAAGGTTAGTCAAAATATTCAAGCTTTAAAAGGCATCAAAGGGTGAATGCATCTACGCTATCGTGACCAACTGTTAGCCATTTCACCAAGAGTCCTCAGCTACTGATTCCTAACATCTCAAGAACCCCAATTAGACAGTATGCATCTCTCTCAGACCAACAGTTAGGGGCTTCATTGACTAGTGTCACGTGTTGATTTCACCACTGTGAATCTTCTTCCAACCTACTTAAACTTCTAGCATTGTATGTGAAAGTAGTCTAAAATAAGGGTGGTTTAACCATTCAGGTAATAAATTGTATCTTTAACAGTTCAAAGTAGTGATGATGAAGTCTCAGAAGGTGAAACCTGCACCGTTTAAGCTGTTATCAAACTTCCATGGGTTAATTAATGATACCATCTAAGACACTTTCTATAGAAGTTTACTCCTTCTATATCATTAATCAACTTACTTAACCCTTTTAAAGGAAATTGAACTTAATCACTGTATTTTTTTATGATAAGCTGGATAAACTAAACGGGATAGACTAAATACTTGGTTATATCTAAAGACAATTCCTGTTGGATAACTTCGCGATTGAACAGTAGAGATTTTCACTATTCCGTATCTGTCAGTACGTCTTGAATCTGTTCATGCTCTTCCCCTTGTTTTCGTTTTGTTTGTATTCACTACTAAAAAGTGTTGTAACTTTTAAGCTGTTGCGTTTTAAACTGTTTTTGCTAGCACGCCTACCAAACTATCTTATTGATTATTATTAGTATGATATACATACCATTCAGTGTGAAGTTGATACATTCTTTCGTCAATACATTCAGCTGAGATTCGTAAAGTATTACCTATGTATCGTTCTGCCTAACTTAACTTATCCACTTGTGTAATGCAATCACCTTAAATCTCTGACTACATCTGAACGTTTGACTTTCAGTAAGAAGCTAGATAGTTCTCAGTAGAACTCATCGAACTACAACCAGTGGGTGCGTAACCAGAGATTGGAGATGGACAACGGCAAGCTTCCCTACTACTCGTTTCACTATTGAATCAGAAAATGCACAGGCGACTGTCAACTGGGATCAAGGCAGGCAGTGCACTTTCTGCCCTAAGACTAAACAGTATACCTATACCTACAAGACCGAAAAGTAACCATAGAATCTTCAGAAACTAAAAGAGTCAATCGTGCAGACTCACTAAATTGCCTTGTTAAAGTTAAATTAATAAGAACCCTTGGATTGTGTATGCATATCTCAGAAACATGGAATACTCCCATGGCTCGAAACCCAAAAGTTTTGGCTAGCGTGGCTTTTTTCGGTCGGTTTTATGGAAGGTGGGATAACTTTGAAAACTCTGACATTTAGTTTGGAGCATAGTCTCATGAGATGAGATGAGATGTGCTGTTTCGTGTGCTTCAGTCGTCAAAAAGAGCCGAAGAGCTGGAAGAATTTAACTACGATTCATGAGCATTGACTAAGAGACGTGAAGAAAGATTGACAGATAAAAACGTATGAGGTCGTTAGTGATGTTAGGGAACTTGAGTACTGACAAGGTTGTGACAGTGGTAGACACTTCCCGAGTTTTCACACCATTGAATATTCCATATTGTGCAGCTAATTGTAAAGGAAATTGTATTCGAAATAGTGATGGGTGACTGTAAAGCCGAAGGGATATTTGGTTGAAACCGGTCACACATAGCGTTTTATGAAGTTTGAGATTTAACTGGTTGGGTTGTATTGAACTAAAGGAGTCATGCGATCGAGTAACAGCAGAATAGGACGGTGGGGGAGGATTTTTGTGTTTACACGTTAAATTTTCTAAAGCTTTTATTCATTAGATAGGTGGCATCAGTATGGACTGCAGGTCATCCATGGGAAACAGTTTACCGACGAAACATTGCATCTATGCAACTGTACGAATTTCTTTTCGGCCCCCACAATATCGAAAGTTACAAGGGTTATGCCTTTTATTTGTATCACACCTCACAAAAACTTTCTGCTATGATAGGATATCTATACATTAATTTTCCTAACAGTGTAGTTTTTCTGGTTTCTGTGATTCGTAAGTTTAACCGCCATGTCTGAATTGCAGCTGTTAGTGAAGAAAGTCTTATCATCAGCTATGCACAAGATTATATGAAACGGGAACAATGAAGAGAGACAGTATTTGTTGTCGTATGATAGTAATCCTCTTGTATAATGTGCTTGATTATTTCATCCATTGTGTTGCATAATCTTATTTTCAGTCATACTCATCCTTTATTCATAGCACTTTGAATATTTATATGTTTATTTACATTCCAATCTAGGAATGGAAAGATGATATAAAATCACCATTTCATCAACGTATTTACCATCAATTGGAACCAATTCAACGACGAGTGTTTATCGCCACAGACGATCCGACTGTATTTGATGAAGCCAAGTCAAAGTATAAAAACTACACATTCTATGGTGATCGTAGACGTGCTAATTCAGCAAATGTCTTTAAACGACGCGAAAAAGATTCAATTATGGGCATAGTTGTTGATATCCTCTTGTTATCAAAAACTGACTATATAGTTTGTACTTTTTCATCACAAGTAAGTAAGATCTTGTTAGAAAAGTTGCACTTGGATACATAAATGAGTTATCGGATAGTTATAGATGTGGAGTTGACAGGCTGGTACTTAGAGTTTAGTTTGATTATCTAAATGAATAACTTTCTGTCATACAAGGTTGTAGTCTCTGGGTTCGAACTCTAGCGATTGAAGCCCTTGATCACATCGGGATGTAGAGGTACATCCAGCAGTCGAGTTGTGAATGAAACAGATTCTGAGTCTATCATTCCGTGCTACTAGTCACTATTCAATGTGTTGCATTTCTTCTGATCTTAATTCTTTCTTTTTTGGGATATTTTGTTTCTAAGTTCCTACATTTCTCTTTAATTATGACGTTCAACTTCCTCCTAGCATTCTATGTATCAGTGTTGTGATAACTGGCTAAGACTACTAGACCTGTTGGATGGCAGACATAGATCATAGGTGGCCTACTTGACATACTTTGTACTTGATGTTAGTTATTATTATTATTATTAGTCCCTTGGGTTCCTAGTGGAACATAGGGCTTCAGTAGCACGTCTCCAGTGACCTCTGTTCTCTGAGATCTTTTGAACCTGGCTCCAAGACAGTCCAGAAGCTCTCATTTCCTCCTCACACGATCTCCTCCATGTCACCCTCAGCTAGGACGTCCAACTCGTCGCTTCCCATGGGGATTCCACTCGAGTAACTGGCCTGATGCGTGATGTCCCCAGTCGGCCTTCTCAGTGCATGGCCAATCCATCTCCACTTCCTCCTGCATATTTGTTGGGTGATAGGTTCTTAGTTGGTTCGTTCTCAGAGCTCCTTGTTGCTTATTCTTTCTGGCAATCCATCTGATCTTCAGTATCGAGCCAGCGTAAGCAGTTGTTGATGAATGTCTGTAGTTTATTGGAAATACCTTTCGTAACGCGCCAAGTCTCTGAACCATACAAGAGCACTGACTTGACGTTGGTGTTGAAAATCCGGATGTTGTTCCACATGCTGAGTGCAGTGTAGTAGATCTCCACACTGGTTTCAGGCTAATGAACGCCTGTCTTGCTGTCTTTCCGATTCTGACTTTGACATCCTCGTCTGTGCCTGTGCCGCCTGTAGTTGAAACAGTGCTTCCTAGATAAGTGAAGGAGGTTACTTCCTTCAAGTTTCTCCCGTTGACGGTGACTGGAGTTTGTTGTTGTTGTTGTTGATGGTGGTGGTGCGGTATCTTCATCACCTCTGTCTTCTCTATATTCACCTGAAGTCCCGTCTTCGCTGCCTCTTCTATCAACTTGTTAGTTTTTGCCTGTAGATCTTCAAGTTTATGTGACATTAGGCACAAGTCATCGCTGGCGAAATCCAAGTCTTCTAGGTTCTTTTCCGTCGTCCAGTGTATCCCCCTCTTCTCGCTGCCTACTGTTTGCTGCATGATCCAGTCCACCACAATAAGGAATATCATGGGGGATAGTAGGCAACCTTGTTTCACTCCTGTCTTCACTTCAAAGGCATCACTGAGCTTCCCATTGTGAATTACTTCGCATGTGGCGTCTTCATATAGTTGTTGAATGAGGCAGATAAAGGTTTGCGGTACTCCGTAGTAGTGAAGCAGTTTCCAAATTACTTCTCGGTCGACGCTATCAAAGGCCTTCTCAAAGTCGATAAAGTTGAGGTAAAGAGCTGATTGCCATTCAATACTCTCTTCTATGATGATGCGTTGTGTGGGGTTGCAATTTGGTCTGCACATGATTTGTACTTCCTGAAGCCTGCCAGCCTGTTCCGGTTGTAGTTTTGAATCCAGTGCATCCTTGATGTTAGTTATTTGCAAGAAATGTGCTAGGATTTACAACAATTAGTCGCTTTGATAAATTTGCATAATGTGTTATAAGAAGACGCGAAAGTTATCTGAGAAATGTGTAGTATATTTGCGTAATACATTTCACACAGTGTGGTCATATATTTATTTGTCAAGGTATTTTATGTAGAGAGTGAAAATAGGGTGGAGTAAATGAATTAAATTGATACAATATTTGGAAAATATAAAGATAATACGAAGGAATAATACATTTTCACACCTCTCTCTCTTGACATTAAAATGAGATAAAGATTATCAAGGTAGGGTTTAAGGTAAGGACTGATTGCTCTTTAATACACAAAGCGTGGTGGGGCAGAGGTGGGATTTAGTATGCTGAGACTTCAATGAACTTAAGTAGACAGTCATGATGGCTCCTATATAGTGGTCTAGAGGCTGTTTTGTGGTCAATCCTGTGACTTGTTTCTATAATGTGTCTACATATCAACGATGGCGTCTGTCTGTTCACTATATTTAACGGATTATTTCAATGTTAGTATGAATATAGAAAATTAATTATGACGAAAACGTTCTCCAGTAAGTAATACTGTTTGACAGTTCTAATGAACAGACTAAAATGGATATGGGCAATGTACCGCATTGCTCACGTTTTACTCCTACATTATTATTTGAATGTAATTGCTTTTTTCTAGCCATTTAGGGATATCGCCTATGTAGTGATGAGGTTTATTAGGACCATTGTGAGCTGATGTTTTTCTGTCAAATGTAGAACGTTTGACTCAGGATTCAATCAACGAAGTCTCTCTGTACAGGAGATACGTTGATGAGGAAGAAATGAAAGCTTATGGGCAGTCGTGGAGTTAGGTTAAAAAGACTGTAGAGAAGAGAGTGAAGTTGGCGACGTGCTACTGAAGCCCTATGTTCCACGAGGAACCCAAGGGTCAAATAATAATGATGATAATAAACATGAGGATGTGAAAAGTCTTCTGGATAAACTTAACTCCCGATTGATAGCTTCTACCTTGACGTGGTGGTTGAGCTTGCATATCACAATGATCCAACGAGCTACGTTTGTGGGACACTTGTTCCCTCAAGGCCCTACCATACCGTTGTGATATAAATTACTACACTATGATGGGGTGTCTGAAGGCGAAGTCGTACTACTGCTGGCTGAATGGGGTGTGACAGCAGTAAGGTGTTTCCCTTGGATGACCAGCAGTGCCATGCTGATGCTGCCTTCTCAGTGGAAGCGGGGGTTAAAAAAGGTCGGCCCCAAAAATAACACACTCCACCATGCCCCACAGTCTACCGGGCTTGCGGTGTTGGTTCATTTGTCGTTTCTTTTCGACCATCCGGCCCAAAACAACAAAAGTTCAAAATAAGCATACTCAAAAGGCTTCGTGTGACAGGCCTCAAGCACATGTCCGGTGGTCTCTGGGGTCACACAAATCTCTTTCAGGTGCCTTAAGAAGAAATAGCCTTCCACGGTGTGGGCAGCTGGGAAGTGTCAATCGCCCTCACAACTCTATCAGCACTCAAGTCTCCTCAGGCTGCTATCCACCTCCCCCATCATTACCTTCTAATCTTCCTTCACGTCTCTCAATTAACAATACCACATCATCTTCGATTTCTCCTAGCTCTGCAGCCTTCGACAACGATCTGGGTTCACAGAACAGCATCCTTGGTCTCCTTAAACCACGCTCCAGATTACATATTGGAGCCTTCAATGTCCGCACCCTCCGTCAAATTGGTCAACAGGCTTCGTTGGCAAAGACTCTAGCAACTCGGACCATAGATGTGTGCTGTGTTTGTGAGACACGCATACAGGAACCAAGTGCAGTTATTCACCTGACTAATCTGGTGAATCCGCAAAATTCACCCTTCGAGTTTCTGGAGATTCGATAGCTAGCTCTAGTGGTCTTGCAGGTGTAGGTATAGCATTAATCACTAGGCAGAAAACTGACTACTGGACTGGATCCCAGCTGATGGTCGCCTCTGCCCTATCCGACTGAATATCACAGTGAGAACTAAAATAAATAGTGAGACTCGTCGTTGTTTCTTTGTAATCTCTAATTACACACCCACTGACTGCAGTTCAGATGAAGTGAAGGACGAGTTCTACCGTAAACTATCTAGCCTCCTCTCGAAAGTCAAACGTTCGGACGTTATGGTTGTTGCAGGTGACTTCAATGCACAGGTGGGTAGACTGAGTGAGGCAGAAAGGCACTTAGGTGGCACTTTCTGAACCCTGGCTGAAAGTACACATAACGGTGGTCGCCTACTACAACTGTCTGCAGATAACTGCCTATCTTTAGCTAGCACAAATAGTGGCTAAAACGAACCAGTGGATATCAGCAGCTTCTTTCGAAGTAATGGATGCATCTGAATGCGTCCCTGCAGGCTCTGAGTACAATGAAGAGCGAGCACAACTTAAAAGTAGATTGAGAAAAAGTCTGCGCAACGACTGCGAACAGTGGTGGTGGGCAGCAAAGACTAAAGAGATGGAAAAGGCAGCGACGATTGGTAACAGTAAACAGTTATTTAGACTTATTAGGCAGGTCAACAACGGTTAGTGAGGCTATAGAGGAGAAGGACGGATCTGCGATTCACTGGCAGAGGAGACGACTGAAACGATAGACAGGACACTTCGAGAAACAGTTTAACTGGCCTCCAGCCACCATTGCGTTGCCCTCTATCCAGTCGAATCCTGAATGGGACATAGAGATCGGTCCCCCAACACTAAAATAAGTTGGGAAAGGGGTAGGTAACCTGAAACGAGGAAGGGTAACAGGACCAGATGGACTACCTGCTGAGATATACCAGGATGGTGGTGCAGTGCTCTTAGTCAGGTTAACGGAAGTGTTAGCTAGTATATGGGAATCAAATACGATTCCCTCTGACTGGTCTAAATCACTGATTATCTCAGTTTTCAAGAAAGGCAAGAAGTCCTCTTGTGATAACCACAGAGGAATCAGCCTGACGAACATAGTGTCCGAGATCCTAGGTTCTATAGCTCTCCGACGCCTGAGTGGAGCTTGGGAACAGCAAGCCCGGGAAAACCAGGCAGGATTTAGATCCGGCCGCGGGTGTATCGACCAAATATTCACACTGCGCCAGGTCCTGGAACATAGATACGCTTACCGACGCCAGACAATAGCTGTATTTCTCGACCTGAAGGCAGCATTCGACTCTGTTGATCGAGAAGTCTTATGGCAATGTC